GGGGCCGGCGAGGCGGGAGGGGCCGGGGCTGAGCCCCCCCGGGCGCATCCTGCACCCCCGGGCTCTGAGGCCCCCGCACCCCCTCTGCGGGGGGACGCGACAGGGGTGCGGGGGGGGTCAGGGTGCCACTGCCCCCCCGGTGCCTTCGGCCCCTTTGGGGCTGGGAAGGGGCCGCGTGTCTGTGTGTCCCCCCCCGGCTGTGTCCATCTGTCCCCTCCTGGCGGGGCCGGAAGGGGCCGTGTCTGTCCCTGTCCCCCCCGGGGGCCGTGTCTGTCCGTCCGCCCCGGGGGCCAGGCAGGGGCTGCGTGTCCGTCCCCTGCGCTGGTCCCAGCTGGGCTCTGTCTGTCTGTCTGTCCCTGGACGCGAAGGCATCGTCTCTCTGTCCCCGAGGCTGTGTCTGTCTGTCCCCCTCTGGCTGTTGTCCAGCCCAGGAGCTGTCTGTCTGTCTGTTCCCGGGGCTGTCTGTCCATTCCCTGGCTGTGTGTCCATCCCTGCTCATCCGTGAGTCCCGTCCCCATCTGTCCGTCTGTCCATCCCCCTCTGCAGGTTCCTATCTGCCCGTCTGTCCGTGGGTCCCATCCACCCACCCGTCCATTCCCGTCTGTGTGTCCGTCCCTGTCCGTGGGTCTGTCCAGCAGGCGATGGGGGTCGGGGGGTGGGTGCTGGTGCTGCTGGCGCTGGGGGCCGGGGCCCCGGGGGGAGCCAGGGAGGGCCTGAACTTCCCCACCTACGACGGGCTGGACCGGGTGCTGCCCGTCACCCTGAAGAACTACAAGGCGATGCTGAAGCGGTTCCCGGTGCTGGCCCTGCTCCACCACCGCCCCGGCCAGGGCGACCGGGCGGCCCAGCGCCACCACGAGATGGAGGAGCTGATCCTGGAGGTGGGCACGGGGGGCCAGGGCAGGGGGTGACATCCCGCAGGGACCCCGTGTGGCGCTGGGGACAATGTAGGGACCGGGGGGTGCTGATGGGACAGGCACTGATGCTGGGGTACCAGCACCTGTGTGGCACTGGGGATAGTGGTGGGGACCAAGGGACATCGGTGGGATGGGCAACTACACCCGTATGGCACTGGGGACACTGGTAGGGACCAGGTATGCTGGCAGTGCCACCAGCCATGGGACGCCAGCTGCCGTGGGGGACCTGTCCCCATGAGCTGGCACCTGCCAGGACCCCCGGCACGGGTAGAGGGGGACAGAGGGATGGGGGGGGGCGGCACAGCTGGGCTGAGGACCCTGGGGGACCTTTGGCTGGGGTGGGGGGTCAGGGTTGGTGGCAGGGGCTCCCAGCGGGGTGGCACCCCGGCAGGTAGG